GGCATCACTGTGTTCCTCTCCACCGGGACTTGACAAAGTTAGGAAACACGTCGGTAGAACCAGTGAACCCAAATACTTCCTTGCCACACAGGCCCTGTGGGGTGCAGGTGCCCCTGCTGTCCTCCAGGCTGTATCTCCAAGCTGTGGTTGGGGCCACCCCCATCTGCTAAGCTGTGGGTTCTCTGATATTGCTGCTGGCCCCTGGCCAGGCAGATCTGAGGGTAGTCAAGAGGGTTCTGAGGCTTCCGAAAGGTCAGGGTGACCTAGGGTGTGAGTCAGCCCTTTGGAAACTCAAGAGCCTTCCCATAAGTTCTCTCTATCCTCCGTCTCCAAGTCCAAGGCATGGAACAAACACATGGTTTGAGACGCTCAAACGCAGCCACCGGGGAAAGACCCAGCTGTGTTTGCTGGCTGGTAACCTCACGGCTTTGGCATTCAGAGGCCAGCGAAGGAGGGTGGGGAGCACCGCACAGTCCGGAGGAGGGAGAGCCTGGGCGAGGTGCTGACTGGCGAGGGAGCCAGATGGGAAGGTCATGGGGAAAGAGCTGGAAGTTCCTTATGATGGGGGCGCGAGGGTGGTGCTGGCAGCACATTGCGAGGGAGAGCCCCTCTGCTCTCCTCTGACACATCAAATGCAGAGATCACCAGCCATTCCTGATTTTTGGGAGGTGCTTCCCCCCACCCCTCTCTCTCTCTAAGTCAGCGGTTCTCAACCTTCCTAATGCCGCGACCCTTTAATACAGTTCCTCATGTTGTGGTGACCTCAACCATACAGTTATTTTCGTTGCTACTTCATAACTGTAATTTTGCTGCTGTTATGAATCGTCATGTAAATATCTGATATGCAGGATGTATTTTCATTGTTACAGATTGAACATAATTAAAGCATAGTGATTAATCGCAAAAACAATATGTAATTATATATGTGTTTTCTGATGGTCTTAGGCGACCCCTGTGAAAGGGTCGTTCTACCCCCAAAGGGGTCGCGACCCACAGGTTGAGAACTGCTGCTCTAAGTCTACAACCATCTAAAGCGGGAGCTTTGATTGACTTCGTAAATCACTTTCACCCAAGTAGGCAGTGTTTCCCTTCGTTTCTAAAGCTGTAAATGTTCCCTACGGGTTGCAATATTAGAGAAGTTCTAGAAGTTTCCAGACTCAACAGAAAGTCAATTCAGTATAAGCCAAGGAACTGAGTCAGGAACAGAGAAACCATCTTAGAAAGTCCCAGTAATTTTGTAAACAGTCAGCAGGGTAGTAGTGATAATAATGCCTTCCCTTTATCTAGTAGGTTACCCAGAACTTTCACGCCAACCTCAGTCGTTCACAAACCCCAGGGAGGGGAATTGAACACGAGTTATCGTCCGCATTGTACAATGAGGAAACTGAGGCTCAGAAAGACCAGCATGACCAAGGACAGCTGACAGGTTAGTGCCACGACTAGAAGACAAGCTTCCCAATGCAAGCTTGCGCATTTTTCCGTGACTCGATGCTACCTCTTCCTCTGCCTTACAGAAGGCACCCGGGATTGTTTTTAATTTGAAAGGAAAGGGGGAAGAGAAGGATTAGGGAAACGGCTTTAATATTGTAAGAATTAAAAATAAAAGCAGAAACGAGCGTGGGCCATTATATAGTGAGGTAGTGCTTGGCTCACCAATGGGCAGATTACCTAATGCTTGGTGCGGGTTGAGTGGAAGAGACCTGGTGAAGACGGGTGCCATTAACCCTAGTCCATGGTCAGCGCGGAGCCCAAGGGACTGAAATAATTCGTCTCTTGCTAAAAATAGCCACATAGTATATTCTGATGCCCAAAGACATTTCTAATAGTCAGCCTCCCACGCCCCAATCATAAAAGCAGCTCCCACTTCTCGTTTTTGTTTCGAAATACAAGGTCTACGATGGGTGCTTTTCAGGTCATTGGTCCTGTACTTCCTGACATTTTCCCCGAGGACTAAAGTGCCTTTACAGATCAATGGAGTCAAGGCATTGAACTTCTTTCCTCTTAATATCTTTTAATATTTTCCGGAAGGACTGAACAGTTATTCGCTCACTAAAATAGGACAAAATCATTTTTAATATTCTGGATCACTTTGTCCTAATATAATGAAGAATATTCTTGTTAGAATTCACAATTTGAATGAGGATCCAGTGGCTACATATTAATGCAAGAATGCAATTTGTTGCGTGGCTACCTAAAGAAAATCCTTTCATTTGTATCCAGGCAGTCCTCAGGTTACATCGGACTCCACCTCCATCGTTTCGTGGTTATGTCGCCATCTCCCATTCATGTATATATTAAAAAAAAGTTCTGTCATTTTGACGTATGTGCTTTGTGTTTTTTATTATTTATTTACCACAAGTGAAGGTCAGGAATTGTTCTCTTTCTTTTACGTTTTCTTACTGTTTCCCTTCATGACGGCTGTGTCTGTGCTCCATGTGAGTGACAGGTGCTGATGTAGGTGGTTCCCACTTACGGTGAATCTGCTATGTCGCCATGGGAACGGATCTCCGAAGTCACCCGAAGACCTACTGTACTTACGTCTAATGGTCTACCCCAGGGTTCGGTACATTTACAAACTGCAATTTGACTTAAAATTCTACACTTCCCTCTTTGCTGGATGGACAGAAAACAATAGCTTTATCTTGAGAATAAAGAAGCTCTGTTTTTGTCATCCTTACCCAAGGATGTGTCTATTGATTTTAAAGAGAGTGGAGGGACCGTATGGCCCTGAGTGGAGATCGAACCAGCAAACGTAGGTGTGTGCGCTGACCAGGAATTGAACCCGAAACCTTTTGGTCCACAGGATGTCTCCAGCCAGCGGGGCGGGTGGGCCAGGGCAATCTCTGTTAACATATAAGGAGCAGGAGGAACGTAACGCAGTGACGTACAGCGTGCAAGCGAGCAATGTGAGGGCTCTGGCCGGAGCGGCCAGGCAGCCCTGGGATCCAGGGCAGGAGTGCCATTCTCTCCCTGCCTTCAATGGAGCACAGTCACCACAGAGAAACTGGAAACCTGAGGGCACGCTACAGAGGATGTTTTCTCAGACTGGAGGACACGGAGCGGCCATTTATCACTGACACAAGGAACTGTCCTCCATCAGGCAGGAAATTGCATAACTTCTCGGAATGTGAGTCAAACTTCCAAAATGAACAACTTAATTTTTTCTCTCTAAAAAAAAAAAGAGAGAGTATCCTGAAGCAGCTTTAAATGTTTCATGCTGGTGTCTTAGACACAGAGAATAAGAGCGCTTGGGCAGCATGGAGCCAGAAGCGCTGAAACAAGAACCACATTCTAAACCAGTGGTTCTCAACCTTCTGGCCCTTTAAATACAGCCCCTCATGTTGTGACCCAACCGTAAAATTATTTTCGTTGCTACTTCATGACTATAATGTTGCTATTGTGATGAATCGTCATGTAAATATCTGACATGCGGGATGGTCTTAGGCGACCCCTGTGAAAGGGTCATTCGGCCGCCAAAAGGGTCGCGACCCACAGGTTGAGACTGTGAAATTTTATCATTAATTTTTTAAATGAACACTTTTTAATTGAAATGAAACATACTGTGGAAAATACTTAAAATCAAAGTGTATAACTTGACAGATTGTCACAAGGAGAACATATCCATGCAACTACCAACAGGGTCAAGATTTAAAACCCCATCAGCATCTCAGAATTGCCTCCTCACCCCTCCCCCCACCATTCTCTCTCTCCACAGGAACCACTACCCCGCCTTCTAACACCAAGAATTCCATTGGCCTCTTGGAATTTGACATAAAAAGAATCACACAGTTTCATTATTTCGGTGTCAAGTCATTCACTCTGGTTTTTGATGTGAGATTCATTCCTGTTGCTTGTAGCCTGTTTGCTCGTTTTCTGTGCTAATTGTGCCCCTTGCAGCACTGTGCCACAATTTAGTTATGAATTAATTTCTACAGTGGAGGAATATTTAGCTTATGTCCTAGTTTGGCTATTATGAATAATGGTGTGAAAATTCCTATACTTAAACAATGTAGGGGCTGACTGGCTTGGCTCAGCGGTTGAGCATCGACCTAGGAACCAGGAGGTCACAGTTCAATTCCAGGTCAGGGCACATGACCGGGTTTCAGGCTGGATTCCCAGTGGGGGTGTGCAGGGGGCAGCCAATCAATGATTCTCTTTCATCATTGATGTTTCTATCTATCTCTCCCTCTTCCTTCTCTGAATTTAATAAAAATATTTTTTAAAAATATCTTTTATTAAAATAACTGGTGGGGGGAGGAAGGGGGATGCACATCACTGTTTGGTCCATTTATGGACGAGAATGTCTTCCCTAACAGCATGTGTGCATGTGCAGAGGCTGACATTGTGTTAGTTCATACTCTCATCACATGCCAGTTGACTCCTGTCGTCCTCACCCCTAAAATAATCATTTAAACATTTTTATCACTTGAATTTGCATTTCCCTGGTGACTGTGTGAAGAAATCTTTCACATACTTACCAGCTATTTGGAAATTCTTTCTTGTGTAGTGGCCTGTTTAAGGCTGTTCTCCATTTTATTAAATTCAACTTCTCTTTGCTTCCTACTTCTTTATTTTCTCTGGAGACTTCTTTGACCCATGGGTTATGTAGAAGTATGTTGTTTGATTTCTGAAAATTTAGGATGTCTAGTTTGGTAACCGGACAACCGAGCGGTCCAGGCTGCCTGTCACTACTTGAGCCACTTAAGCAGAGACGGGGTTGACTCATATGAACATTTATTCCAATCCTGCCGGCAGTGTGGGAGAGCAGCAGGTCATCCACAAACATCTGCTCTGCCCCCCACCATCAGCCAGCTGCTTATGTTGGGTAGAAGGACAAAGATTATGTGGGGAAGTGGGAATTACAGGTATGGGAAAGTGGGCAAGGTATAATGGTTACAGGTTACAAGTCATGTGGGTGGGGGGAGGGGGGTCCCAGAGGGTGAGTGCCTCTGGGCACTCCGGGACCAGATTACAGGTTATAGGGGCTGGCGGTTGTAAAGAGCAGGTGCCTCCAGACTAGATTGTTTTGACCACGAGGTTGTAAGTCTTTCCATGATGACAGGCAGTTCTCGGAAGGAGAATGGACTGCATTCTGATGTGAGCTCCCCTGTCCCAGGGTGCACAGCTCCCAGCCAGGTTCGATGTGCTTTCTCTAATCAGAACAGAGCCATCATGGTTGACAGAGCATGATTAATGTCCATTTATATAAAAGGCTAGTATGTTAAGGGTCAGCCTGGGTAATGAGGTCATGTAGCAACGCCCGGCTTCCTATCCCTGGTGACTAGCCTGCTTGCAGTTTCTTCAGCCCAGGAACATGACTTGCTTTATAGCCAGGTGGAGACATTTCACACTGTAACCAAATGTCTGTGAAGCATTTTTCCGTGCCTCATCTCATGATCGTCACAGAAGTCCTGGAGTAGGCAGGTAGGAGACTTGGTGGAATCCTATTCTCTTTTCATTAGCCGGAAAACAGAGATTTAGAAAGATTAGAAACTTGACCCGACTGAAAAGAAGTAAGAAATGGTGGACCTTGAAAATGACTTCAGGTTTTCTCACTGCACAGCATATAGTCAAACACGGCTACTGTTAAATATTTTACCCTTTGTTCTCCCTGTGCAATCTATAATAATAACCTGCTTCGTATTGATATTTAGTGCTGTGTTGCTGACAATTACGTGAAAAAGAAGTTGGGGTGCTTCACTGGGCTGGAAAAAGTTTAGCTAAATCAGAAAGCAGGTTTAATTAAGCAAGTGTATTTATGTATATAAAAGGCTAAGCTGACTCATGCATGTGTGATACATATAAAGCTCTTGCTGGTGCCAGTCACACACACCTGCTTCGTATTGATATTTAGTGCTGTGTTGCTGACAATTACGTGAAAAAGAAGTTGGGGTGCTTCACTGGGCTGGAAAAAGTTTAGCTAAATCAGAAAGCAGGTTTAATTAAGCAAGTGTATTTATGTATATAAAAGGCTAAGCTGACTCATGCATGTGTGATACATATAAAGCTCTTGCTGGTGCCAGTCACACACGTGTTTCCAACATATAAAGCTCTTGCTGGTGCCAGTCGCACACCTGTGTTTCCATTTGTCATTGTCGATCATGAATTTGGTTGACACTTCTATTATAGAGAAAGGGCAAGTAGCAATATTAAAATATTTCTTCTAATCTATTTCCTTTCAATGTGCACGAATTCGTGCACCGAGCCACTAGTTTCTTAAAATTGTAGCTGGTCCCCAATATTCTATTTTTGTCCTAATAGTTCTAGAGGTAATGGAAGGACCCTTGGAGTTTTGGAGTGAGGAAGCTAAAGGTAACTGCCTGGGGGGACAAGTGGAGGGGAGGGGAAGGCATGGGCTGCTCCCAGGAGGAAGAGCACACGGGGTCCTGTCCTCAGGGTTTAAGGGCGGAGGTGTTAGGGGAGGCTCCAGGGGAAGATCCAATACAGTGGTTCTCAACCTTGGCTGCACATTAGAATCACCTGGGAATCTTTTTAAAATCCTGATTTCTGGGCCTCCTCCTCCAGAAATTCTGTTTCTTTGTTATGGGTGGGGCCACAACAGAATTTGAATTTCCGGAGGATGAGGCCCAGAAATCAGGATTTAAAAAAGATTCCCAGGTGATTCTCATGTACAGCACAGGTTGAGAACCATTGCAATAGAACATCCAGCACTTTCCAGGTGTGTCCTCTCAGGGCTGTGGTCTCCACTGATTGGCTGGCACCAGGGTGGGGGTCATTATCCAATGCAGCTGGGCCTGGGGGCAGCCGGGCTGGTTTTGTTGTTTTTCTGGGCCTGGAGCTGACATACAACCGAGGCCTAGAGGTCATCTCCAGGGGGTCAAACCACATGATCATCCATATGCGAGGGGAGGAAAGGTCACCCTCGGGGTGAGGTACTCCCTACAATTGTCATATCTAGGCAGTGGCGGGGGGAAGGGGGGAGGGTTTCCCCCCTGGTGACCTTTGTCCCTGGCCCATGGTCATTGTTTTGCTCATGTCTGTCTAACCGCCTGCTGCACTCTCCTCTAGAAGCGGTGTCTCCTGGCCTCTCATCTCTCCGGCTACTGCCTCTGGGCATGGACAGCAGTCCAGGTAACTGGTCTTCCGTAGGGCATATACGTATTTGTATGTATAGCTGAGCTGGCACCTTCATTGAAAAAACAAGACCGTCTTGACTGCCCTGTGTGCTCTTTCCTCAGATATTAGTTGAACGTAACGGCTTGGGTAGATTTCTAGGTTCTCTGTTCTGTTCCATTGATCCACATGCCTGTTCTTGTGCCAGTACCAGGCTTTTTTCATTATGATGGCTTTGTGGTATAATTTCATATTCAGTATTATGATCCCTCCTACTTGTTCTTCTTTCTCAAGATTGCTGAGGCTATCCAGGGTCCGTTTTGGTTCCATATACATTTTTGGAGTGTTTGTTCTAGATCTGTGAAATATGTTGTTGGTATTTTAATGGGGATTGCATTGAATCTACAGATTGCTTTGGGTAGTATGGACATTTTGATTATGTTAATTCTTCCAGTCCCTAAACACGGCATATCCTTTCATTTATTGGTATCTTCCTCTATTTTTTCCCAGTGTCTTGTAGTTTTCCTAATACAGGTCTTTTACCTCCTCGGTTATGTTTATTCCAAGGTAATGTTTTGTGCTTGTTTTTGTGATGGTTGACAGGACGGTGTTTTAGTTTCTCTTTCTGAGAATTCATTATTGGTGTATACAAGTGCTGTCCCAGACCCTCATTGGTTGCTCCCAAATACGTGTTCCTTTAAAACATTCGGAGACGAAATTAAGTCACTCCGTACTTTTTCTAAATCCTATTTTTAGACTTTTGTTGAAGGGTTTGTACAGGTGGTATGTCCATCACCACCCTTTATTGATTTCCCAGAAGCCGAGGGACCGATGTCGTCTGCTACACTAGACGGCCTGAAATGGTGTCGGCTGCTATAAATGCAGCAGAAACTGATGTCAGGCCGCCGCGTTGAGGAGGAGAATGTACTTTGGCTCTCGCACGAAGCACATCGCGAAGGCAGCCAGGTTCTGCCTCGCTGCCAAGCGGATTCTCTCTGAGGTAATGACTCAGCTCAGGCAGCTGGAGGGAGAGCCGTGCTGCTGGGCACAGCAGTGTGTTGCCATTGTCTCGCTAACTAGATAGGAAATCTGTGAGCATTTATTCCAGGTTTGCTGTTATGTGCTCACTTTCTTTGTAGCTTTAACCATATAACTCGTTCTACTATATGATTCTTAGAGATCAAATAAACTGCCAATTCCAGCCAGTTTAATTCTCTCCCCCCGGTAACAATAACTGGCATGGGAATGTAGTTACTGATGCCTCCCCTGATCTAATGTCACCAATCAGATCTAAACAGTTACATCACAAAAGCCAGGGCTATATTGAGTGGACATGCATAAATAGTCTACACAACGTACCATTACAGCAGAAAGGAATTGAATACAAAATTTTCCTTGATTTTTGGTGGTTTTCAAATTCTATGGTACAGACTACAGGAAACAAAACAAAAGCAAACAAAAACCTGGAAAACAGATTTTAAGTATTTTCAATAAAATGGTGAAAATTGAATAAGCCTTTACGTTTTATGTTGGGCTGAAGACTTAAACCATGAAGTGGGCCCCAGTCTGTCCAAAATGACAGCTCAGTAGTTACAATGACTGGGCGGGTTTTCGCTACAATGGAACTGAAGGACAGGCCTGCCTGGCAGAACCTCAGTGCAAACATTGTCAGAGGGCAGTCAGGTGACCTTGGCAACACACTTGAAGTTAAGACAGGGATGAAGAATAACACACAACTCCGTCTCATTTCTGACCTGTCACCATAAAGCCTATTGGGCCCAAATGCCGCCCAGCCCTGCTCCTCCACATAAGCTGAGTGAAGGAGGGCAGAGTGAGTGGACCCTCGAGGCTGGCATTCTGCGGATTGACCTCTCACTGCGCGTCAAGGCGAGGCTCAAGCTCTGTTAACGTGCTTCTCTGGAGTGTGAGCAGCGGAGCACCAGATTTATAAACTGACACAGGGCGACCCAAGGCTCTGCACACCTTCGAACAAAAGCAGACACTCCCCTCATCGTCAGGTCTACGTGCCACGTTATTCCTAACCTACGTAGCTGCCAACATGAAAAGCATGGGGAGCTTTTGACCATATCTTGTACTTTTCACCTCGGCTAAAGTGCAAACTGTCTCCACGTCGCTGCTCTTGGGCAGGAAGACACCGGAACACACATCAAGGAAGCGAAGTGGCAGAGCTAATCCCACAGAAGGCGTCCTTAACCAGGCATGTGGGATGACCTTCTTTCTTCAGCGTCATCACTAGGTGAACCGAGTTCTCACAGAATGTGAGATTTTGTTTGATTCCCTCCCAGGATCCTCTTTGAAATCAATAAAAATATTTTTTTTTAAAAAAAGAATAAGTATTAAATTATTTTTTTTTAAAAAAAGAGTAAGTATTGTCGTAGCTGGTTTGGCTCAGTGGATAGAGCATCGGCCTCAGGACTGAAGGGTCCCAGGTTCGAATCTGGTCAAGGGCACATGCCCGGATTGTGGGCTCGATCCTCAGTAGCGGGGCGTGCAGGAGGCAGCCAATCCATGATTCTCAATCATCATTGATGTTTCTATCTCTCTCCCTATCCTTTCCTCTCTGAAATCAATAAATATATGTTAAAAAAAGAATAAGTATTACTTAAAATTAAAGCAATTACATTTCTCTAAACAATATTTATTCCTATTTTCTTCAAATATATGTACTAAATACTGAATTATTATAAAGTATCATAATAAGGCACATGTTTATGTACATAACATCATATATGTTTACATTACATGGGTGTACCTATTTTTCATGTATATGATACATATGTATATAAGTGAATTTAAAAATAGCTGTTTAAATATTTTCAAATCTTCAAGTATACTAGCTAGGACCTTTCTGGCAGCGTTCCCCCATCATTTCAGTTTTAGTGTGGTTTTTATTACAGGAAAAAACCTCTATCCCGATATTCCTCACCTCCCTATGGTGAATGGTGCTCCCTTAGTTATGATGTCACCATGGTCTCAAGTTCACAGGCATGGCCATGGTGCGTGCTTCTGCTTTTGCAATTATCTACACCGGGTAGCATTTAAACACGACGAAGGGGAGAATTCCTGTTCGGTCAGAAAACGGGAAATGGAGGCTTCATGCTGCGTTTACAGTGGAGCTATA